ACCCATGTTCACATGACACTGAATTATTTTTACATTACCCCTCGGGGCAACTCATTTTTCTCATCGATAGTTGGTTGGGCTTATTGGCGTTCCATACTGCCTGATGTACTTTCATAGTCCCTGCAAATTGCTTGAGATTGGATGGAATTAGCAACTCTTTTTCATAAATACCGGAATCGTCAATAGTTTTCGTTATAATACCTTGAACAGATTTCAGATGAGTCATCAATGACGATAAGCTTGTGATATCATTGCCTTGAGCAACTATTGGATCAGCTGTTCTTTTGAACAGCAGTTCTTTTTTTGTGTGTTGCACTGACACCATCTGGGGCTCCTTTTCCATGGCCGCTTTCTGTATAATTCCATGTAATACTAGTCAAACTGGGAAGGTACCAATGGAGTTTACTGATTATATAAAATATTTTTCGGTTTCGGTACTGACCCGACGGACTATCAGAAATGAAATGTAGTATACGAATATTGAGATTTTCATCTTCTATGAATCTTAAAATCGGAAGTAAATGTTCCCAAATGGCTGGTGCATCATGGCGTAAAGACTCTGATAATGTACACATCGACTGAACTTTCAGAAGTCCATCTTTATGATAATAAATGACCACGGTGCGCAGGGTAATTTGTTGTCGGTTGCCGCCGAAATGAACGGCTTGAATTTCACTACCGTATTTTGTGCTGTAATTTTCACTAAAGTCGCAGTAAATTATACACTCTTCATCAGTGAGGTCACTTTTCATTTTTTTAATAAACTTGTTCTGTGCGATCATAACTCCACAGTGAGTCATGTATGAAGGTAACATTTTTTCAAATTTTAAAATGGTGTCCCTGGGAAAAGTATTCACTTTATCTTTCGTTGTGGTTGTTTTTGTAACTCCATTCTTGTAATAAGTTCTTTTACTTTTTTGCCAAATCCAGTAAAACAATACTTCAGCGTTATTGAATTCATTATAGATTAAGCTTTTATCTTTGCAGTCATCGCATTTTCTAGTTAAACATGACACATTCGAAGAGTCACAGCACAGTGATGACAAAATATCTTTGGTAGATTTTTCTTGAATTAAGTTGTTTTTTTTTTAAAGCAGTCACCATTAAGTCCATATTTTCATGTTCGATACAAAGACAGGTTTCTCGTTTATTTACATTAGGTTTCAGTATCCAAAACGGTAGTTTTTTGGAAAAATTGGAGTAACTAATTTTATTTTGGGGATTTGTTTGCTTAAACTTAGTATATAAGTCTTTTAAAGAATCATTTAAATAGCGTCTTTGTTTTTTATTCTTTTTCTGGGTAATGAACTCTTTCTTTCCAGAACACATACGACTGTTTTCATCTTCTTCAAGAAAAGTTTTGATGTCCTCTTCTACATTATTTTTAATTGTTTTTATAGTGTCTGATTCACTTTGTTTAATATCTTCAGTATTATTTTTACTTATATGTTCATATTCTCTTAATTTAGCACTTTGGTATTTCAATCTATATATCTGTTTTTGCTGTCGTTCGTTGACAGCCTTCAATTGATCAATCTTCTATTTCTGTAACTGATACATTTTGTTCATGCGGTATTTAAGTCTACGTATGATAACTTTGGTATTCAGTTTCTTGTTAGTTTTTGGAGTTGGAGGAAACTCTTTTTCAATCACACGAACTGATGATCTTGTCCATGGCTTTGAAATTTTACTTACGTCACTAGACGGATTCAATGGTGCTGGCGAGTCTCAATAAGCCTTAATACGCTGAGGTAAAGGAAATGAAACGATGGATGAACTTGATGGTAGCAAATCAACATAGGAACTTGCTTTAGTTTGAAGCAATTCTGATCGTATTGTTTGTGATCGTGAAGTCACCAAAGGATCGTCAGTTTTGTCGGTTACTTCTGGTACGATTATTAAATCCTCTTCAAGACACCTCATCTCTTTACGCCTTCTTTTAAAATTGTGTTTGTTGGAAGATATTCTACTTCTGTCTCTAAAAATTCGTTGTTGGCAAGGATCTAATTCACTTACAGACTTTATCTTTCCTTCATTCTTCCTTTTATAATACCGTTGTCTATCTTTCTCTTTGTGCACTGCGTAAAGCTCTGGATCACTCTTAATGCGAGCTTTCCGACGTCGTTCAGACAATCTCTTTTTAGCCAACCGATCTTCTTTTGAATCTGACATAATCTCAATACTGAAAAAAGATAAGGGGTGGTAAGAAAGTTAAATTTACGATCATAAAATGTAAATAAATAACGATTGATTGATTTCGATGATTTCAAAATTGATTTCGGTGCACCTATTTCCACCGAAAATACCGAAATCAATGCCACTGAAATCAAAATAATTAACAAAATCCTAAATGTTTTCAAAAATAAACTGATTTTTTCATATTAACCTCTTCTATTGAAATCTAATACATAAAAGACATAATTTTATTATAATTTAAAAATATTAATTCAAATAGTTGTGGATAAAATGGATTCACCGAAATTAATTTTAGGGGTATACCAAGCCACCGAAAACGATTACGTACCTCAATAAAAGAGTGACGCGGTAACGCACAGACGCGTTGATCTTACCACCAATGGGGCGCGACTGACAGTTTGTATTGCTCGAAAAACTATTCTCAAAGTCACTAGAGTATGGGATATATGAACGGATTGGTGCGCGCCACTGATATCAATCCTAAACGTTGGACGTGAAGACAACCAGATGTAACTTGTCTACTAAGGCCTATTGTGCTTTAGTAATATTATAAATTGAATTAATAACTATCTAGTTGTTTGTGAACACATGTCAAATAGTGCGAATATTGGAAAAAAAAAGATAAAAAATAATTTCCGCCGCAATATGGGGCCGGACGCGGCACCGAGGTCAATATTTTCGAGGTTTTTAATTTTATTAACTAACTTATATTTAATTTGTTCAAAAAAGAACATAGGCCCCTCCTAATATTTTGATCGTACCTGTTATAGAAAAAAATATCAAGTTGTTAGTAATCCATTTCGTACTGGATTTCGACCCGGACACGCCTTTTTGAGCCGTCTGAGAATGACCGAGATATACGGCGGCATCTACGTGTGCGGATTGCACTGCAACTCGTAGAGCCGCATCTCCTCTCGTAGTATTTTCATTCGACGAGAGAACAGCCTCACGCCGTAGCCGTTCGAGTTCGGCGTCTTCAAATATTTTTCAGCGCATGATGTACCGAACTCGGTCTGCCAGGTTTTGCCCGGTGACGGTAATAGACAACTCAGCAAAAAAACGATGTATCCTAGCCCGGTACGTAAAACCACTAATTTCGCATCCTTTCGCCCTAAAATGCGCCCGCAATGCTTCGAATTCATTTTCTTCGTCCAACGCATGTGACGTATTCCACCAGCGGCGGGCGCTGCTTGCTGAGTCCGGGAGGGCCCTGCTGACACCAAGCCATCTAGTGGGAATGATGGATGCGAGGGGCTACGAGGTGACTACCTCGGGATGGCAACAAGTTCACGACTGTGCAGCCCCTCGCGCTCGGCTGGAGGCCCGCATGCTGCGCACGTCCAGCGCCAGCTCCAGACGCGCCCTGGCGACCTCCAGGTAGCGGCCTTATATGCTTTCCTCGTTGTGCCGTTATTTTGTCATTACAAACAGACACTTCAATTTTATTTATTTGTATAGCTATAATTGTATAGATATAGCTTCATTTTAATAGATGCTAGTAATTCATTTATTTGCATTTGTTAATTAATAATATAATACGTTTGTGTAATATAATACTGAACTTCGTTCCAATCTAGTGTTCCACGATACTCACGCATATTTTTTATTTTTTTATTTATTTTAAATCTTTATTGCACACTAGCTGTTCCCCGCGATTACGCCCGCGTGTAATTTTGAGTTTTAATTTTTTTGCGAGGAACCCTAATTATTTTTCTAAAATAAAAGTAGCCTAAGTTACTCCTTATGACATCAGCTATCTGCCAATAAAAGTCCCGTCAATATCTGTCCAGCTGTTTCGGAGATTAGCCGGAACAAACAGACAGACAGACAGACAAAAATTTTAAAAAGTGTATTTTTGTTATAAGTACCTTTTATACTTTCATATGGATTTAGTAAAATGCTATAATTTTGACATTACCAACAGACACTTCAATTTTATTTATTTGTATAGATAAAGTGTACGATTAGCGGATTTAATGCCTTTAGGCATTCTCTACCAGTCAACCACGACCTACGAATACATAACTTATAAATATATATTACTACAAATACTATTTACCTGATAAATAGCATAGGTACTTACGCAAAATTTAAGTAATACATAACACACATTTTAAGGATACTTACATACGGACATAATATATTTTAAATATAATATAAGTACTATATTAGCTTTGGCTCAATTCTCGGAACAGCGGCGCAACCGATTCGCGTCTAAAATTTACAGAAGTGCTGCCGCAGCAGTGCTGCCACTGTGGTGCTGCGCAGCAGTGCTGCCCACCGCGCTGATGCCGAGCAAGGCGGCAGTCTTGCTCTGTTTGTGGTGTTGCGCTGATGTGTATTCATTCAGTTGCTTTTAGTTGACAAGATGTCGACTGAGCACCAACTTTTATTTATATTGCTGAAAGAGGAAGAAGATGACGATGACGTGTCGTTGTTTTATACCAATAGTAAACTTGTTTTAAATATCTTGCCATATATCATTTAATTATTACGATAATTAGTATGACTGCTATCGTAAAGGGCTGGATATAAAGTCACCAAATTAATTAATTATTCATCTTCTGAATCAGAGAAATTCATCGTTTTTGTTGCAAATTTACTTGTCAACATTCACGTACATACGTACTATCTCTGCGCGGACGCATCACTACTGGTCTGGTGGTCCGTCGCGGCGGCGAGGCGACACTGCCGCGCAGCAGTGCTGCCGCTGCATTGCAGTACATAAAATAATGTTGGTTGAAAATGATTCATACGTATCATTGGTTTTTAGAAAAAACTGCTTGCATTGGCTTGGTTCATATTTATATTTTTGGTCTATCTGTCCATATAGCATTAGACGACGACGATATACTCAAAACACTTTCTGATTCATACGTCTTTAACACATCAAATATGTACGGATAGAGATACTCATTCATATGTAGACCCCAGACGAAATCCACGTGGTTCATCTTCCTGCGCGGAATCACCAGGTGCTGCACCACGTTAGGAAGGTACTGTTTTAATATCGCAACGTCTTCTACTGTTGATACAAAGTCGTTTTCCCCAACAAACAGAGCGACTCTCATTTTCACGTTCTCTAACTCGTATTTTGGGGGAATCGGATACCCATACATATCTAAATTTCTATCAGGACCATAATCAAAACGTGCGAACTGCCTTCTGTAGCTCACTTGAGCGAAGTGATACAGATTTTTCACAGATGTTGCCGTTGGAAAATTGTCAAATAAAACTGGTACTACGCTAGTCTCCAGTTCCTCCTCGTCGTAACCAGTTATTGGGAACACGGTATCCATAATGCATATGGAATACCCTATTAATGGATTCATGCATAACGCTTTCAAAGTTTTCTTCATCACTGGGTTTTCTTTGAAAACCTCTTGTACACGAAGTGATGTGGCCAGGTTGTATATGATTGGTGAATACTGAATTATCGTCTTCAATGGCGGCGGAACGTTCTGGAGGTAGCACACAGGCGCCAGTGATACGAGAACGTTAACCTTTTGATTGTATTCTGGTCTTGTGGAGCCGAGTACATAGAACATTGTGGTTCCCTGAGAATGTCCAATAGCGTCAAGTCTGTCGGCGCCGGTGATATACAAAACAGTATCAATAATGGCAGCTAGATCGTAGAACCCGTATTCGTGGAAAGAAAAGTCCCAGAAATCGTCGTCAACGTTGGGATCGAGGTAGATGTGACGACGGGAATATCTGTTGCCTCTGCAGTTGCCCAGCCAGACGTCATAACCCTGATTTGCGAGTGTTATAGCCAAGGACATATTACCTCTTATTATCCAACTGTTCGCGGAATCTAATATGCCGTGCATGAGAAGAATGGGTACTTTCCTCGGCCCTGGGATCCGGAACAGCCGAAGAATATAACCGTCTTCAGTGAATGCATCATATAATTGTGCAGTGTATCCATATTTTGAAGCGAGCTCTGGAAAACTTACATTTCTATCTTTAGTCAAACTTTGCGCTGTTCCATTTTTTATCAGCACAACGCGAACCACGAGCAGCACGGTGATCTGTCTCATTTTGTCAGAAATCAATGTCGATTATCGACCGTCCTCTCAAATTATGTTGCCATTTTATTGCAGCTTAAACGATTCTATGTCATCCGTAACCGTAATTCATAAAGGACCTTTTACAAATATCGACAAAGTATTAAATAGGTAATTTATTTATTTCTCGTGACTTCAATAAAGCAGGATGTTATAAAAAGCTCTCTACAATCTATATCCACCATTATATGCATCATTGGGTTATCGATATATCTAGTTGGGAATCGGAAATTATCCTGGATTATATACCATTTTAGATAAGAGATATTCATATCGTTGTGCGTTCACTATTCTATGACAATGTAGTTAAAACACCAAAGAGATTAACAAGTCTATGTTATTGAAGTTAAATACAAGTGCTAACCTGCCTATGGACATCCCCGACCTAAATCAAATGAAGAATACTAGATTCGTTGTTATCTCTAAGGACTAAGGTAAAATGCCTAATAGCCTGTAACTATACCAGGTGACTAGCCCTTTAAACAGGGGTATATGTGTGTGGATTTTGCGACATTTTGCGGGTGGAAGGAAAAGGGGAGATCTCCCGCCGGGCAAGGTGTTCTGCCAGGGGAGCGGCCAACGCTCCGAGTGGTAGTTCGGAGCTATTCTATATATACTGTTTTAATTTCGGAACTTTGTTAGCGCGATTTAGGCTTCGATGTGTTTTCGCTTGTGGCGCGACGCCAGCGCCGCCACATCATCCCCCTGTTCTGACCCGACGTCGATAATGCAGTCCGACTGCCGGTGCGTCCTTAATGCCGGTGCGGAATGCATGCTGTGTGCGTAAGGGCAAGTGATGCCGGTGTGAACGATATGCCGGTGTGTAATACGTGCCATACTAAGCACTTGCAAGTGATGCCGGTGAGAACTAATAAGATTAAAAATAAATAAACCAAACCACAAATATGCATAAAAGTAGAAAAATTAAAAAAAAAGTTTTGCAAAAAGCATTGTTTTGTATATTAATATAATAGGTACTCTAGAAACTTAATTTAAAACTTTTATTTAAAACTAAAATTAAAGTTAAGTTTAAGTTTTAAATTTTAATTTAAAACTTTTATTTAAGACATGCAGGAAGTCGATGGATGCAGGTGGCTCAGGACCGTGCTTTGTGGCATTCCTTGGGGGAGGCCTATGTTCAGCAGCGGACTTGTGAAGGGCTGTAATGATGAATGATGATGATTTAAAACTAACTTCTCAATTAAATGACATTGTGTAACAACAAACTTTACCTCAGTATCATCTAGCGACATCTGGCGAGCAGAAAATTATTAGCCCTCATTACATACGCCGCGTAGCGGTGACATATGAAAATCTATTGCTCTGTGGTGCTGACGTCACGCTACAAGCAAAACGCACCGAAACCTAAATCGTGTTCGAAGTTCTAAAGTACTAGAGTAAAATAGCTCTGTACTACCACATGGAGCGTTGGCCACCCCCCGGGGTGATCATCTCGCCCGGCGGGAGATTTCCCCTTTTCTCTCTATGGTCAAAGCTCCATATCATCCCATTAGTGTCTTGAGAGGTGGCAGAATCAAATGAATCTGGAGATGGACGGCAACATCTTCTTAATAACAAAAACTGAACTGAAAATAATAAAAATTGTGGATGCCGACCAATTTGCCAATCGTCGCAACTACGGTAAATATGCTCTCCCATTAGGTAATTCGACATAGGTATCCTCCCCTTGAAAAAGCTGCATTCGTAAGCTTCCACCATCTAACCCACATCTAGGCCCACCCTACACGTGTCCCCCGGATGGTGCTAAACGAGCGACAAAGCCGAAAGGATAGACTCTGCTCCTTGCCGTATGGTAGATCGGTACGTAAAATCTACCACCTTCACATCACGAGCCAACAAATAAAAGAAAAGGCCACGAGTCTAGTTTAATGGGGCAGGGGTACGAAGAATCTCCAGGAGAAAAACCGGCGGCGAGGTAGCCACCCGTCACGTTCTGTCTCCCGGAGAGACGAAAAGTGGTTTGCGGAGGCCCATCTGGCTACTCTGAATGTATGTGGAGTAATGAATTATAGGATGGTGTAAGTAATAGAACGAATGCGAACACCACATTATGTGGTGTAAGTTAGGGAACGAATGAAAGGAAAAATAATACGTGGTGGTGGGATGATCAGGTATGGATGGAAGTTGAAGCAAAGAAGAGAGCATAGTTAGATTTACTAGCAACCAAAGTTGGTAATTCTGGCGGTATGAATGATGATATTGAAAGAAAAAAGGCAAACTTTAGACGTATAAATAAGAGAGTAAAAGAAGTTGTTGAAAGGAAAAACAAAGAAAGAACGGATAAGAATGATAGAAGGATATCTGATAACTTCCATGCAAATATTAAAATGTTCTGGGAACTCGTAAGAACTGCCAGGGGAAATTCAAAACAGCCTAGAATGAATGCTATATGAGACGAGAATGGCTGTATGCTGAATGACAAAGTTTCGAGTTTAAAGAGATGGAAGGAATACTTGAAAGCAGGTAAGGCAGCCGGATGTGGTAGAGTATCACTCGGGAGTGGTGGCAGGCCTGCTGTACACCTTGTTTAACTTATTTTGGGAACTGAAGCGGGTACCGGAAGACCGGTGCAAAGCCATTGTAGTCCTAATATATAAGGGGAAAAGGGTCACAGCAGGACTGTAAAAACTACCGTGGTATAAGCTTGCTCAGCATTGTGAGTAATCAGTATGCTAAGGTGTTAATTGAAAGAGTTATGGAAGAAACTGATGGAAAATTTTGGGATGTGCAAGCTGGATTTAGCAAGGGAATGGGGTGTACGTATCAAGTCCTTTCCATGCGCATGATTGCGTAGAAGTTTTTCACCAAAAGCCAGAAAGTTTTTTGTGCCTTCATGTGCTTGGAAAATGCTTATGACAGAGTGGACAGGAATGTGTTTTGGCAAACAATGAACTCATTTGGGTTGGTTTGATATAGGCATTAAGGTCTCTTTACAGGGACTCTAGTGCTTGTGCCAGGATCAACGGGGTCTACTCGGACTGGTCTGGCATTCCAAAAAGATGCCAGAGAGGGCTATGTAGCTTCCCCGTGGCTATTTAACCTACTTATGGACAGTTGCTTGGAAACTTTGAAAGTTGAAGAATGTGGATTGAGAGTAAGTTAACCGTCAAATGCCTTTTGTACGTCGATGATCAAGTCATATTTGCATCGTCGGCAGCCGTGTTGCAAATGATTGTTACATTAATTAACTGCTCATTAAAAGAAAGAGGTATGAAAGTAAACGCAAGTAAGACGAAAGTGATGGTTTTTGAAAGAGAAGAAAGTAAAACGTTATGTGAAATAAGAACAGAAGGGGAGTTGATTGAGCAAGTGGATGAGTTTGTATATTTGGGATGTGTATTTAGCAGGGATGGTAGATATAATATATATAGAAGACGAATGGGGCTCTACACTACATTATGATGAGTCAGAATGTGTCAAATAATTCACGTATGGCAATTCATAATGCTGTGTTAGTCCCTACTTTAATGTATGGCAGTGAAAGTTGGGTCTGGCAGAAGAAGCGTGAGAGTAGAATAAATGCTGTAGAAATGCGGTCATTAAGGAGTATGCTTGGGCTGAATCTGAATGACAGGGTAGGAAGTTGTGTGATAAGAGAAAAGTGTGGCTTGCAAGATGACGTTGTGACAAGGATTAAGAAAGGAATGCTTCGGTGTTTTGGTCATGTAGAAAGAATGAACGAGGAAAGAGTGACAAGGCAAATTTATGTTCCAGAAGTAAACGGCAAAGTCGAGAAGGGACGCCGTAGACGAAGGTTTATCGAGCAAATTGGCGATTTATTGAAAATGGGCCAGATTAGTAGTACCCTTAATCGACGAGCGTGTATGCGTAGATATATTGATGTAAAGGAGGTGAGAGAGGTGTGTCGGGATCATGTCAAATGGAAATCCGTAGTCTCTGCTTACCCCTCTGGGTGGCAGGCGTGAGTGTTTATGTATTATGAATGTACTAAATCTATCTCCTCTTTCGGCAAAAAAAATACCGAAATATAGATGCGTTGTTATCCGTAATGACTAAGAAAATCTCCTCCGGACTGAGTTTCGGTCACGGCTGTCAGCACAAACCATCCATCCATCCAACCATCGGAGACTAGCCATCTGCATAGACCAGGATTACAGTGCACAGCTGTGTGCGCAAGCACAGTTGAATTCTCTATTCCCTCAATATCGATGACGGCAATGCGACACGACCGGAAAGAGATAAGGCGCAGGACCAATAGTTGTACATACGTGTTTTTCTGTTGCGTCGTTTACGTTGGTAAAATTTTACACTCTATAATAATGATGAATAATTTGTGTAAAAGATCCCTTATAATTGATGTTTATAAAGGACATGTACTTTATGGTGGAAGCTAATTAGTATATGCCCCAACAAATTTATTTTACGTTATTCTTCGTTCACTATCTTTCTAACATTAATGGTTATTTTGTACTGGTTTACTTTAACGATAATATTATTCGTATAAGTGAAGAACGAGTTAACCTTCACCCAGCAGGAATTTTAATTAAAAAGGAACTGTGCCGGAATTTAGTGCATTGTGGAAAAATGTTTTTAAAGATTTTTTCCACATTTTTCCGCCTATAAATAATAGAATACATAGAAAATAATAAATAATGAAATACATAAAAATTGTGCTGTATGCAGTGCCCATGTTGTGCTGCTATGTGCCATAGGTAAGACTAAAAACAATGAATCGGATATTATTTGTGAATTCTACAGGCAATAAAATGTTTAAAAAATATGTCCCGCCATCTTGAATTATTGATCTGGAAAAATAGTGACATGAAGTGCCCAAGTGTGAAATAAAATTATTTTGAAACAGAAAACAGAAACAGAAACAGAAACTTTTTTATTCAATATATATTATAAACAATACTTATTGAAAGCCACTCCTTTGTATAATTACCACTGGTTCGGAAAAAAAACCTCTCTCCTGGGAAGAACCAGCAAGA